TTATTTGGGGGGGGGGGGAGAGGACTGGAATTCTCAAAATAAAAGCCTCCATAAGTGAGAAAAGAAAATTTACTGAATTTTGTCATTTATACACGTGAAAAAATTTTCCCCTAAAGTTTATCTTGATTACAATAACTTAGCAAAAAAAAAATTTTTGCCCATAGACATGCACAAAGATTGGTATGGGTCATCTTTCAAGAACAGATATCAGGAATTGGCATATCAGCCCAGTTTTTTGTATCACTACAGCCCTAATTTTAATTTGAATCATACATTTCACACAGATATGAAAATGTACTGCAGGAATACAGGATCATTCCTTGTTTGAAGTTGTGCAACTAGAGAACACAGAACAGAATTCAAGAAGCCAATTGAAGGTTGCTAATGTGAAGAGACATCCAGTAAGTCAGGAGGGAAATTATGCATGTAACTTTTGAAGGTGTCATTTGCTGTGATTTCTAGAAAAATGAAAGTATTTAATATTTTTTTTTTCTGGAAATCAGATGACACTGGCTTTACATAGGTAATATTTTCATCCATTGTGGATTGAACATTCACAATCAAAGCTTGGTTGTCCTGCAGCATTGAAAGTCCAAATGAAGTGTGGGGCAGCTGTGGCAACAAGGCAAAAGTAGTTTGAAGCATATTCCTTTAACCTGATACATTCTTGTGGCATTGAGTTCAGTGCTTTCTTGTGGATGACTGAAGCAGACTAGCCTGAGAGATCTCTAGTTCATTTCAGTAGCTTAAGGCCATAAAGGGCTGTTACTGTATGAGATGCTGTAAACATCATGAATCCAAATATCCCATATTCAAATTCTAACTCATTTCATAGCAACTAGAAAGTGATGAACTGAAATGTGAGACTGTGTATGGATAAGAACTGGAGACATTTTCAGCAACTTCTAGAATCCCTCCTCCCTCCCTTTTTCTTTGTTCTTTTTTTCTCATCAAAGGTTTTCATTTCCAGGATATTCAAGAAACAGGTTATAGCATGGGCTTGATTAATGGAGAATATAGAAATCTGTAGAGCTTATTTATTGGTTATTTTACTTCTACAATGACTAGAAAATAAGTATTCCAGGTACCAGACTAGACATGACCTATCACAGATGTGCATGTTAGGGTGAGGTTTACTGTGAGCATAAGAATGCACATAACCATCAGAAAATGTAGATATTTTTGAGCCTGGAGCTATCAGATCTCTGTACCACACCTTAATGACACTTTGATGAGTAACCATTTGGACAGTAGGGGAGATGGAGTCAGACTGGAGATACTGTGAGCTATCAACACCTAGAAGACTTTCATTCCAGCCCTCTCTTCTGATCATTAATCATGTGCTTCTCTCTTTGACCTGAGCAACTTGTGACACTTATTTTTTTTCTTTCTCTTTTTCCTTTCCAATTCTCTACTCCTGGTTGGAGTATGTATACAGCTTGTGTTTTCCTAATGAAAATAAACATTCATCTAGGATGGGTGCATAATATTGACCAAGGTAGCCTTCAACTATTTGAATTGCATGGAAGCCATGAGGCTTTTGACATCATGCAAACTGTTGACGCAATATGACCTGCTTCATTCTTTAATGTTTTTTCTTTCAAGTTGCTTTCAGAATGTAGTTGTATTGTACCCTTGTGTGCAGGTGAGCAAGAGATTCAATGATGTGGCAGGCGGGCTCCTGACAGCCACATTTCAGAGGCTGCTCCACCAGATGCAGCAGGAGTATCACATTATCCGGGCACAAATGCCAAGGCGGGAGTCAGCCCGCCGGAGTCACCCATTAGCGCGCAAGTGGGACATCTATGAGACACTCTCCATGCGCCTCTCTCTCCTCCAAATGACTCTTGGAAAACACTTGGACCTCAATCACATCCCATTCTTCCCTGGGGAGGTAAGGCCTCAACTTTCTTGCTATTTTACCAAGAAAAGTTGAGATTTTTTTCTCTAAGAACTTTGTGGTTTTGCAAGCATTCTGGGTTTCATCATTTTTTATTATCCCAATGTACTACTGAAGAATACTGGACATGCTGCACAAGTACTTATCCAGTGAGGGAATGCATTGAAATAGGGTTATTTTGCCTGGTAAATCTGGGTTTGAAAACTGCAGCTAGTAAATGAATAGATAATTGCCAAGATTATAAGGATTGCAGTAATATTGCAGATATGCTCCTGTATGCACACATATCTTTCTCCTCTCACTATTGCAGTAGAATTTTGAATTTGTGACCTTATCCAAGAATCCTAAATGAAGAAAGCCTGAAGCCACTTAGCATGTGTTCTTGTAGAATTCACAATTCATGACAGGGAAGAAAAAGTTGCCCATTTTACTTGCTTTTTCATGGTAATTCTTTTAAAATTTGTTGTGATTGTGCTACATACCATTTCAAAATCATTCTGGCATTATATGGCTGAAAATTGAGCCAGATTGAATATGAAACAGAGAAGTGAAAGAAATCTGTCTATGGTGCAATTATTTTTGCATGAAGTAATGCTTGATATGACTGGTTGGTTTTTGCAGATATTGGATGAGGTGTTCCGGATCCTCCACTACATTCAGGTGACTCCAAACATAGAGAATCTGCGAGCATTCAAGCTCACTGATGAACTCTTTGACCTCTCTGAAATGGCCATGGAGTACTTCAAAGAGAAGATAGAGCCAGCATTACCAGAGATATCGTACTTCAATTCTGAATTCTGGGACTTCACATTCTCAGGTCTGCCAGGCTAATCTAATTGATTGAAATTGATTTTATTTAACTGAAACTACTCCAATAGTAGTATTATTTTCAATGCATATAACTGTCGCAACTGTATAGGAAAGTAGAGTTATTGGTGGAACCTTTCATTACCCGTGGAATTGATGGTCTCTGCCATTTCTCTGCATGGACTCCAATTCCAAGCCATTCAAGGAGGATGAACCTCATTTAGGTTCCAAAACAGAAAGGAATTTAGCCCTTTTTCACACTGATTCCTAGTAATCCAATATATACCTCACAGTACTGGTATCCAGTATCTATCCCCTCCCCCTCTAACATAACTCTCATAAAGATTAAATTGGAAAAATTAACTCTTCTTTGCATGACATAGTAGCAAATGGTAAGCATTGCTTGCTTGAATGTAGTAGGCTTTTCAGCTACCAAGGACAGAAGGAGAGAGGCAGAAGGAATTTGAGCTGAAAAGCTGGGAAAAAAAGAAATGTAAATATAAAAGTAAAACATGCTAGTATATGTAACAAAAAAATTATTTTTTCCTGCTGACTCATTGTGATTGTTGCACAATAATGCCTGTAATGAAAATACTGGCTGGCAGTCAGTGACTGGTGAGATGCTTTTGCAACGGAGATGAACAAACGTTTTAAGACTCTTTAAAGTTATGAGACATAATCTTCTAAAACTCCAGTTAGACTATTCAGTTAATCGGTTTTTATAAACTAACTCGTTTTATCCCACTAAAAATTAGGTGGTTAATTTGTTCTGTCAATATACAAAGTTCCCCTTTATAATAAAGAGGAAGGAAGTTTTGAAAATTATTTAGATATGAGGGGCCTCAGTTCCCCCATCCTTAGGTAACCAATGATGCAAACTTGGAACTCTGATCTGACTTGAAAACAAAATTAAGAAACTTACATCAGTTGGTGGGGAAATTGAAATTGAGCTTATATCCATCACTGTGATGATACACATCTTTCTGGGGGATCACCTTGATATGATTTGAGAATATTTTTAGGTTGTCCCGGGAAGCTAGGAGGGTCGAGTCTCCTGGAGTCACCTGAGGAGGATGGACGGAATCCATCTGAGCTGGGAAGCCTGGAAGAGACAGGCGAGATCAGTCAGCCTCAGTCAAACATGGTGCTGCGGAAGCGCATTCGGCGCATCCGCCAGGGCATGAAAAGGTACAATAGTGAGCTGGCCGTGCTCAAGCAAGAGCTCAAATCGTGCCAGAAGACCATCACAGATCAAAACAAACAAATCCGGGAATACTCCACTCGTCTCGACTCCTATGACAAGAAGTTTGAGGATAGTTCAAAGAAGTTCAGCCTCCTCCTCGCTGTAAGATCCCTTTCCTCTCACTCACATTGTTACTTTGAATCATTTGCAATTTTTATCTTCTTATACTTATATCTTTGGTTGAAGTATAGTTCCATCCCAGACACTGTAACACTCTCCTTGTCACAAGGACATTGCAAGGGCTGGGATGATTTCATAGGAAAACACCTCAGCCCTCACACAAGGCACTGGCAGATTGCTTGAATGAAAGAGTTTAAAAAGTGCCCCACTCCTAACTGGAGTTCATGAATAAATAAGTGATGGAGTCAGTAATTAAAATTGAGCCAAACTGCAGCAGAAATAAAGTGTTAGGTCATGACAACTCACCATGGCCTTGATGTCCAATTTGTGCCATTTCTTCCTCATAGGTTCTGGTTTTGCTCCCTGAGAGACATTCAACTTCCAGAGTCCTAGCTCAACGGTTTCCAATCTTTTTTCTTTAGTTACAGCGTACATAAGGACACTTGAACTTTCCATGGCACACCCAACCATTTACTTACTTTCAATGGGAAACTTGTGCTTGCTTCACTGAACACAGCAGTTTGATATGAGGCATGATAGTGCAACTTTCAACTTGTTTTCCACTGAGAGATGGCGTTCCCTCTTGTTTTTAAGTTTTTTTTGTCAATTCTCAAATCTAATGGCACACCTAAGCCTTACTGGCGGCCACCATTTGGGAAACACTGTCCTAGCTCAGTGTTTTATGAATTTTGTCTGAAGGGTGCATGCACACCTGGCTACAAATGAAAGCCCTGTGCTACCCTTCCAGGTGGTCATTTGTCCTTGAAAGGTCCTTGATTACATGCTGGTTTCTATTTGTTTCCTCAAAGTAATCGACAACAGAATCCATGTCTGCAGTGATCTGCTTCTGCTACAAGATAATGCAGCAAGCAAATGTGCATATGATGTTTTTTCCACTACCGTTTTGGCCATGAGTGTCAAGAGTTTGCTATAGTGGGAAAGGACAATCGTTGGTAGTAGGAGTTCCACATATATATAGTGAATTGGACTTAAACTGAGAGTTCGGTTAAACAATACCTGACTATGACTAGGATTCATAGTCATAGTTTACACCTAACCGACCATACTAGTGTTTCTCCCCTGCCACACACAGTACTTAATCCCATTGGCATTGATCCATGAGATCCCCCCTTGTATTTATACTTAACATTGAACTGTTCACTTAGTACTAATGTTACCAGCAGGTAGCATTAGGATTCTTGTTTTTTATTGTTTTAACCTTTACAGGAAAAATTCTCTGTTTTGTGTGCACTATAACAGATGTATATGATTACATGGCTATGTACAAATATGGTACACCAAATGTGTAATAATTCCAATGCATATGGGTTAATGCATAGTGCAATAAGTTTTAGGAAATTCTCCTGAGAAAAGCAACACTGGTAATGGCATACAGTAGCTCAAGTCTTTAATAGTTTGTGTGTTAATTCCAACAGATTGACAGTCAGCTTGTGCAAAGCTGACTGTCAAAGCAGAATGTGAGAGATTTTGGAAGAGCATAGCATTATTGGAACATACCAGTGTCATTCACATACACATTCATTCCTTCACTTTCCCCTTTCCATCCCTTTCCCCTTTCCATACCACTTCCTGCTCCCCTTACACGAACCAATTCTGGTTGTGGTTACTTTATGAACTCCTTACCCCTAAAGGACATTGGGCTTAGTATGCCCATCTGGTTCATGGACTGGCTAAGGTGGATGATGGTCTTCTATGCCAAAGATAGCATAAGGCCTACTAAGGTAGCAATATATGCCTGGTCCTATATTGTGGTTTCACTTGTGACAGCCACTGGGAGGTGTCTGTATCAGCTAATCCTGGATATATACATCCTTATATGTCATCAACAAAATTTGCTAGTTACTTTTTCACCAGCAGCTGCTATATCTCACATTGTTCATGGGAGAATCTCTATCTCAGGATGCATTTGCAGATGAAAGATTGGTTAAGTTTTCATTTTGCATTTCCCACAGTACATTTCACAAAGCTAATGGACATCATGGGAAGATTAATCAGAGCCCCAGTCTCATTCCTTGGGATGATGGTTAATAAACAGTTGCTCCAGTTTGTATGACTTGGACCATTTAAATAATGAGCAGTTTTCAGGACTACCTGAGCATTTTAAATAAAATTTCATTTATAATTCAACTTTGAATGGGAATTTTAAAATAATCATGAACTTCTGCTGTGTGCTTGACCTAAAGCTAGGAGGAGGATGAGGAGGGGGAAGGAAGGAAATTAAACAACAAAACTCTGAATGTCAGTGTATACCACTTAGTGCCAAAAGGGTTAAAAAGAAAATGTCAGCCACTCACTTTGATAAGCACCTGCAATGACAGGATTAAGAAATATGGAGTCTTGCCAATGTGTGTCTTAACAGACACACGTTGCCTGAATTTACCTAAGACTACACCTCCTATTTACTACAGGTTAACGACAGTAAGATTCATAAGGGTTTAAAGTTGTCTGTCCACACGTTGTAAAACGATGAAATCTGGTGAGGTTATACGACGTCAAATGAGACTCACAGACTGTATTGCTTTCCCCCAACCCCAGTAACCAGAGTGAAGATTGATGACTGACAAATGATTGCTCACCTGATTTTTTTAATTTATTGATTTATGTATTTTATCATGCCTTTCACCTTAGTGCTCCTGTACCAAATGTTATAAGACCAAGTAGGGTTGAATGTCACACCAGATATTAATTCCATCTACCCCAAAGCAGTACACCCTATTAATGTGATTGATGAAAAGTGGGTCAAAACAGCAAATTCTTTTGTTATTGGGTTTGTGGGAAAGTTCTGTCGTTTTTGCTTTTGTACAATTGTACTTATCTCCCAAATATGAATACAGCTAGTGATGAATCATCGATTGTTTTTATTTTTATCTTTGTGGATTAGAGTATAAAAGGATGTCATCACTAGCCGTATTCATATTTGGGAGATAAGTCCAATTGTACATAAACAAAAACGACAGAACTTTCCCACAAACCCAATACATCTCAACATGTGTTATACAATTTCAATGAATGAGGAAATTTGATATACCCCATTGAACAAGTTCTGGCAACATTGTCAGTTTTAGAGTCACATCTTCCCAACTTTGTACTTTTTCCAAACTTTATGACAATTGAACTGCAAAAAGATTATCAATCTGTCAAGCAGTATCCCTATAATTATGTTTAATACATAAAGGATCATTCTCATTTTAAAATCCTGCCATGATCAAGCAATCTATGATGGAAGAAGTAGTGCTTGCTAGAACTACATTGAACCTATAGGACATTGAGTCCATGGAATGCTACATTTCACTTTAGGGAGTGTATTGTGGGCACAAAAGCATGAGACTCCAACTCCTTTTGTTATTTTCTTGGTGTTGTCATGAGGGTTGAACATGCACTCATTGATGTGCTCATTTTCATTGCCTAACAGGAGCTGAACAAGTGCAAGACAGAACTACAGTACTGGCGGTCCAAGAGCCCAGCCATATCTCAGATTAAGTGCAGGGAATGTGGGACCATCGTATCAGGGAAGGAGGATCGGATACAGGATCTGGAAGACCGACGGGCCCTTGCTCATCAGGGTGTCATCATCGACTTCGAGGAGGATGAATCTCCTGCGTATGAATACCACGACAAGGTTGCAGACTGCCTCCCGGGTACATCAGGGCCATCCAAACACCATCACACCAAAGACCAACAACCTCACTCCAAGCGAAAAGCAGAGGCCAAGTCTAAAGGTAAAGGTCGCAAGCGGGCCCGTGTGGACACCATGTGAGTGATCAAAGACAATATGAATGACAATGAGAGCGATTGAGAGAATGAATCCGGTCCTTGTAGCATAGGCTCTGTAGATCATGATGATGAAGATGATTGATGAATTGGAACCTCATAGATACCAAGAGTACCTGTTTCACTTGCAATAGTGTGCACGATGGGTGAAGTGGGGGGTCGATAGTTTGCAGCTGTATGTATTCTGGACTGGCATTGACTGCTCACAAAGGAGCCTGGTTTATCAGTTTCTGTTCCATCTTCCTCACTATTGGTTTCCCGTTTCTCCATAAAACTGTGATGCAGGCACAGATGATGATATAAGGGGGGATCTTTTTCTTTTTTCTTGGTTCATTATTATTATTATTGTCATTATTATATTTTCTGAAGCTTTATAGTGCTGGTGATGTTGAGTAAGATTATGGTCTCCTGTCTGATGTGACCAAAAAAGTTAGTATTTCTTCTTTGTATTGCCCAGGTTTCCAATTTTTCCTCATGTTCCCATGAAGTATTTAAAACTCATTTGACATTTGCTCTTTGTTACCCAGGATTTATGTTAAGCTGTTAGAGCAGTTATGTGGTAACAGTCCATGCCTGATTTAAGAAGAAATGTCTTCTTAAAATATGCAATGCGCTGGAACGTCAACATGAAGCTATGTATGTTCTTCAAAAATTTGCATGCCATATGCATCTGTGTACTTTCATCATGAAGATGGGAGGTGCAAGTAGTACAAGGTCTTCCATGTGCCTCTCCCAACTCACTTTCCTCCCCATCATACTTCCATGGTTCTTTGGGTATTTCCAATTAATAATTTTGTTGTGATCCGGTTTCAGACTTAACACAGTGAAAATAAATATTATTCTTGTAATTTATACAAATTTCTCATCAATTGGTATATAAGCAGAGGGAGAAGGATTTGTAGGTAGGCGGCTTGATTGAGTGATTGATTGGTTTCATGGAAAATGATGTACAAATAGAAAGTGGAAAGTCCCCGTCTTGAAATTAAAGTGTGGCAGTTTGATCAAGTTGCCATATCTTATCTCATGACACGGATAATGGTGGTGGCAGGGTGGAATTTTTGGTCAGGGTGAAGTTTTTTTTTTTTACTTCATCCTGCTTTCACTTTTCCCCTCTTTTTCGCCCTTTTGACTGTACAAAGTGTGTGTTGATGAATAAATTTTATAAATAAAGTGAACCAATGATTGTTCCATTCTTCATGAAACTTGAAGACTACCCGAAGAAATTGTCGGCGATAAGGCACTAGGGGCCCGAAGGTCCATGAACGCGTCCTGGTAACGGTATCCCCATCTAATACAGCCTCCGGTGACCTCAACGAACTCCAAGTGATCTCTAATACCCCTCTGTCTCAGGGAAGACTAGGGCCCCAGAGACTACTCCGGGAGTATTTTCAGGGTTGCCTGGGCTTCCATTCGAAAATAGGCGCCTGCCTTGACTGGTTTCGAAATCAGGTCTTTTTCCTTGGTAGAACGAGAATTTCTCATCTACCCCGAAAGCGCGGTGTCCCACAGAATTGACCTTGAGGATCGCTACATCCTTCAAGGTCAACTGTTCGACCAGTTCGAATGAAGAGCTGATTCAATCCGGTATAGATCACTCGAGCACATAGGAATCGCCGCGCGACATCCAGTTGCGGCACACCCTCTTGAGGCATTCTGATCTCCCGGTCCCTTCCTGCGTTAACCTTGGTATGTCTGATGTTTATCGGAGACTGTATGAAATGCACAATGGAATCAACCCATTTTATACCGTATGAAATCTGAGCTTTAGGTATGGCACGAAGAAAATCTACATGAGCAGATTCCTGACGTGGTACGTGCATAGTGCTCAAAGGTTTGCGAGTACACGCTAATAATGTTCAGGCGGCATTGACTTTTCCAGCAAAGGGCAGATATAATGCCATCACAACTCCTATTACGTGGGCAAGCCTTACATTACCTTCTAACGTTTCTTTCGGGCGCTAGTATATTAAGGTATATTTTAAGCAGTCCCGAAGTGTAAAAACCTGGTGTTACTGCTGACCCTTGATGGACAGCATGGCCAAGTATCTCTTGCTTACATAATTCAGCATAATTAAACAAGTTGCCAAATATTATAACTTTCCAGTCGTTGCCATCTTTCAAGCCAAAAGGCAGCTGTTCTCATTTTCACCATATCTGGATTTCTACTAACTTGATGACACGACTTCCTATATTGTCTTTCAATCTATAGGCATTCCAGTTAGGCTGTTCCTGAATATTGAGGAGTTGTTTCTTGGATCTCAAAGAAGGTGTGAAGCTACTTGAAGGCAGCACATCACTCAACCCAGCGGGAGACCTGTCAAGAATCTGCATGCTTGAAGAAGGAATGAGTTCTGAAAGAACGCTGAATCATTTTTCCCGGGGCAGCAGACCTCGACCTCCGATTGGCCAATGGTGTCGTCTGGCTGGCTTCGATTGGCTCTTGCCTCTACGAAGCCCCGCCCATCGCTTCCGGTCCTACCATTCCGCGTGAATTCCATTCACGTGGCAATAAACCTAACTGACCGAGGGAGAAAGTCGTAAATTTCGAAGCAGTTTTCGCGTGAAATTTATTTTCATTTTCCAAGGTGAAGCTTACGAAAGAGCTCTTCCCGTGCCAAATCTCCATCTATCACCATGTGACCCCTCCTCGAATCCATGTGGACCGTCCCTTGCCTCATTCGGGTGAAAGTAGCCGCCTGTCGCTCCGGTACTTTTAAGTACTGTACACGCAGAGATGGCCGCTTATAAAGGGAGCCATCCGTCGCGAGATCCTCATCCTTGCCTCAGCCCCGAATCATCTTCCCTCGACCCTCAACACAACCCGGTACGTCGGACTTTTCCCCATCAGAAATTCTACCCTCAATTTAACAAACTCCAAAATTCCAGTGTATGTAAATTGTATGAATGTAGCAGATGTAGCTTACAGATTTCATGTTTGAGTATAATAAGTCGATGTTATACAGTAATTACGCTACTAGCGACTTATTAGCATTAGCTTCGATTCGTGTCGAATAGGTAGAAAATAAGCAAAATTGATTCGCGAGAAACTGCGGTAGGGTCATTTGCATACAACGTGCAGTAAACCTCCAGCTACTCGTCATTATCATTAATAAGTTGCGATTAATGGGAAACTTTCGCGAATTATCCCCCAATTTACTCCACTAAAACTTTCGTACGTGGAGAGGTACATTTCATGCAACTCTGAAAAGGAGTGTCATGTTTGGGCTTTAAACTTTAATTTCGTCTTTTTTATGTTATATAATTCTGTTGTTATATTTTTAAATGCGTTTTACTTTCTTTCGCGTTCTATACATCCTAATATAATTTAATATTCCATCACGATAATACATAATATTATATTCTCTAATAAAATCCACCTTCGCGTCCAAAGACGAGATGAAGCTGGCAGTCGCGTGCCTGATCCTGAGCGGGGCGCTGAGCCTGGGAGTCCTGGCCCGCCAGGCCTACGTCCTCCCTGCCGGCATGGATCTGCTCGGCCTGGCCAATCCCCGTGCTACCTTCTCGTGTGCCGGGCGCATCTACGGTTATTACGCGGACGTGGATAACGACTGCAAGCTCTTCCACGTCTGCCATCCCATCCTGGACGAAAGGAACCAGGTAGCGCCGCAGAAAATTTGATGAAAAAAAAAAGAAAGTGTTAAAACATTATTTAAAATTTTAAATTAATAAATAATGTTACTGAAAATGGAAGGGATGGTAAACATGCAATTTAAATTTTCATTTAAAATTAAAAAATCTGAATCTGCCGTTCTCACAGAAGTGCTAGAAACTTGGCTTTTCGCAACCACAAAATAGGCAGAATTACGCGGAGTCTAATTGAAGTCCCTTTGCAGCTACTGGAGACGGCACACTACACGTTCGCGTGTCCGAACCAAACGGCGTTCAGCCAGGACAGCCTCACCTGCGCCTTTGTCGACGACGCCCTGCCGTGCGATCAGGCGCCGAGTTTCTACGACTCCGTCAACGCTCTCTTCGGCATCTTGGGGCAATGAAACTATCCTCTTCTTTTTTTTTACTCTCCGGGCGAGGAATGAAGGGCTTTTCTCGATTTTTTCTCGCATATCTTCATGAAAATATATTGTAAATAAATTTGAACATATCACTTCACAAGTGTCTTCGTTCTTTGTTTTTCTTTCTTACCCGCAAGGCAGACGCGCATCCCATTCAAATGCAGATCTGAAAAAACATGCTCATCCAGTGCGTGACCGGAATCCGGAAAGTTGGCAGTCCTAACCGAGACCGTTCAAACAGGCTTTATTCTTTCTGTTGCTCAACTCGCTTACGTCATCCGATGAGCGTAGCGTACACGTGAACGGAGAAAAACCTCAACGAATGAATAACAATTTATTATAATAATAAATAATTAAATTTAATTTCGAAATTGCTTACCATAGATTCGGTGCCGCGAATTTCGAAATTTCGTATTCGTCCCACCTGGTATTCACCTGGTTTCTAAACCATACACGTCATTCACGAGCAATTCACATTCGCACGGCGAGATGGTCCGTCCGTTTTCTAAAAAAAAAAAAATATTCCCGATAGATGGCATTCGCGAGAGGCTTTCTGGAATCTTAATTTCCATGTTTCGAGGCCGAAAACGCGGGGGGCATTCTCGCCTGAGTGCAAATATGTAAATGAGGATGAGTCACATGTGACAGATTCTCTACAGGGGGACGCGGAAGCTCGGATTGCGTCACCGGATCGCAAGCTTGATTTACATTAAAGGCTTCTTCCTTTTTGTCGAATGGGGTCTAGACTCTAGACCTCTAGACTCTAGACCTTCGTCTTTCCCCTCCTCCTCCCATATTTTCTGTCCGTTTCTTTTTCCTCTTCCCTCTTTCCTTTCATGCCTTCCTTTCCCCCTATTTTTCATTTTCTCTCCCCAACCCCTCATTCTTCTTCCCTTTTTTTCAATTTCTCTTTCTTAACTTTCTAATTCCAACCTTGGATTGCTGGGACCTTGCGAACCAAGAAAAGGCGAAAGACCGCATGCTTGGAAAGAAGCTGCGGCGAGCACGAGATCAACGATCAGCAACTGCAAGTCATTCAACTCTCATTCCGCGATTGCAGGAGTCGCGTTCGAGCGAGCGGGATGAGCGAAAGGGCTCGGCTAGGGCTGAGTTCCTCATTTCTCATTTGCATGAACGAGATTCGTAGGGGCAGCTTGGCCCTGGTCAACGCCGAAGGCGTCGAGGTAAAAAGATGCGCATTTTCGGCACAGCCTAAGCGGGAGCTTCAGAGCGAGCCGAACCGGTTCCACTCCGAATCTCGACGGGTCGCTGTCGACATGGATACAAGATTAACGACTGCATTTCTAAGGCTTCGAGAATAGTGCGGAGACTCTGGGTGACATGTACCGACTGAGGAATCGGATTAGTTTAAAGACGAGATGAACACGTTTACTAAAACGTGTTTAAGAATGCGCTTATCTTGGACATGCATAAACGAGAATCAGATTAGTTTCCATTAACACGTTTATCGCCGACTTAGGGTGACATGCGCCGAATCCGTTTAAGTTAAACTAATCTGATCTCACCATGGTTCCCTATGAGAATCAGTTTAACAGAGATAAACTTATTCCCATAGACGCCCATTATGAAAACGAGTTTAAAGTTAAACGAATCTTGTGCATGTCACCCTTAAACACGTTTAAAAGTTGCACTAGGAAGGAGAACGAATTTTGTGCCAGATGCTGCTCCATTGTCCGAATTGAATTGGCGACGGTTTGAAAAACGAAACATACTTCGGAATTCGTCTCCGTTGAACCGTTCAAGAGGATTGAGCCGATCTCTGGTCGTCCTCCTGGCAGTTTTGGTTCAAGATCACGTCAAAATTTTCTATCTCTTTGGTTTTCATTCTCACCGTCGCTAGATGATGAGAGACAAGAAAAATGATGCTCACTCCGGCAAAACAGGGTGCTGAACTATCTCTGAGAATCCGTTTAGGGATTTAAACCTGCTGTGGAACAGGTTTATCTTTGAAGATTTGCTTAAGAGAGAAATAAACTGATTGCATTTGGTGCATGTCACGAAACAGTTTAACGAGGAGTTCAACTATATGCCCGGAATCAGGTCAGTTTAGCTCCTAAACCGATGTGGTGCATGTCGCCCTCTGTCGGACTGTGGTTGCCAAATCAGATATTCCCATCGCGGCGAAACTTTCGTTTTTAAGGGCGCTTATCTCCCGGCATTATAACTATAATAATATCATAACCATTACCCAAAGTTCAAGACCATACCCTGCATTTACGAACGAAAGAACGAGATCGCGGATACAGCCTGCCTCGATGAGGTTCTCACGTGCACATATTCCCACATGAGAGCTTCTCACGTGTGAGGCTCTCACGTCACCCCAAGTGAAATGAGGGCCAGCATCCGCCAGAACCACAAGGTCGCTTCGGATCGCGTGATAGCATTCCGGTTTCGGCTCCGACCCGTCCGACTCCCAACGAAACCGACAGGATGACCGACGGGTGACCGACAGGATGACCGACGGGTGACCAGTCGGTAGACCTCGAACAGCCGTAATGCATGCGCGTTTGGATTGCCTAACATAAAACGGAGTTGTGAAGCCGGAAATTAATTCTTTTATATCTTTCATTTTACGACACGCCAACCCGTCGAGGCAGATGCGAGAAAGGCCGCTCGAAGAATGACCTTTGTCGCCCGAAGGCCATCGCAACGGATTGCACCTTCACGTTGGACATAAATTTACAGACAGGTGCTGCGAGGTAGCAAAAAAGTGTATTCTTCTCGAATATTTTTCCAACCAGTCTGTCTGCACTTTTCTGGAGAAATTTGGGTCTTCTGATAAATGGGATGAGCACAACCTTTTAATTAGTGCAGAAATTCTATTTTGAAGCATAATTAAGTATTAAAAAAGTATGTCATGAAATAGTATTAATGAATACTAATTAATTAGTATTTTGATTCAATTAATAGCCATAATTTTAAAATAAACTTTTTTCAATAGACTCAAAAAGCTCTGAAAAAAATAACATATGTTTTCTCAACAAACAAAATCATATTGTTAGAAGAAATTTGTCATATTCATCTCAGGGAAAAATATAAAAAAAAAGAAAGTTGCGAATCGTGTCTTTTTTTTCTACATAACTTCTCCTTATTTTTTTCTCATGTGGGAATGAGTACCCTGAATAATCCATATATTTTTTATTTCTGAAAAATAGAGCTTTTGTCAGCAACATTTTCGGTATATTTTTGGTTCGAGGTAGAAAGTTTATTTATTCATGTTGATTAATATCTGCTGCGTTTCTTAATCACGTGCATTACGTCGATAAATGTCTCCAGCTCTATCCAGACTCTTTTACCTTTCCGAAGTGCTGTTCAACCCACCCACTATTCTTTCCTGTTGTAACGCGGGAATTTTTTTTTTTTTTTTTAATATCCAACTGGATACCTAACATACATCCTTGAATTTTACACCGCCGCGTTATTGGAAATCTGGAATTTTAGAAAAGCACTGCTTGCTGGCCCAAAAACTTCGTTAAGCGTTGCCATTTGCAAAGAAACACCTGACGCGGAAATGCGAACTACCACCTGTTGGATGACATGCATCACATCGGTTAAGGAGCTTAACTGATCAGATTCCAGGCAAATATCCGTCAAGCGTGTAGTTTTCTGAGCAAGGTGGAATCCACGAGTAAATATTAATGAACCGCAACAATAACTGCGGAAATTTTATATTACTATGTAAATATGTATATAGCAGGGCATGATGCATTTCCACTTAAAAACATGTTATAGTGTATCAGGGACATTGGTCATGACGGATGAATCTGTCACACTCGCTTGAAGGGCTAATAATGAGTTAACTCATTGTTACACTGATTTGGGACATGCACCAAATGCAATTACTATATGTCCCCCTTTAAACTAATCTTAAAATATAAACTTGCATCATAGCAGATTCAACTCCCTAAACGGATTCTCAGAGATAGTTCAGCATGCTGTTTTGCCGCAGTGGGCCTCAGTTTTCTTGCCTCTCGTCATCTAGCGACGGCGGAAATGGAAAATAACGAAGAGACAGAAGTTTTTAACGTCATCCTGAACCAACCCGCCAGGAGGATTATCAGAGAACGGCTCGATCGTCTTAAATAGTACAGTGAAGTTGAATTCCAAACGAGGTTTCGTCTTCCCAAGGACACCGACTCCGACTTGGTGCAGACAATGGGGCCGCAGCTGGCACATTCGCTCACAATGACTCATTGACAATTTGACAATGACAATTTGCCCTCGATTTTCATCCGTCCTCTATCCACATAAAGCCGGGATTCTCTTTCCAAGTCTAGCAATACTGTCTTTTAAATGCGTTTAAATAATGGATAAACGTGTTCGCGGAAACTAATCTGATTTTCGTTGGTGCATATTGAAGAAAATATTCTAGAAAACGTGTTTATCTCGTTTTTAAACTAATCCGATTCCTCAGTTACTGCCTGCCACCCGTTGACTTAACCCTTTCAGACCCATTCCAATAGACATTGCATTTTCATTGTTTTAATGGCAATTTTCTTGGGATTCTCGTGACTTTGCGCCCCATATTACATTACAAATGGACTCGATTATGCAGGGCTCAATCGGAGGCCTTCTCTCACCCGTCAGTTTTGTAATCTTTAGTTATGAAATTACATTTATGATATATAATCTATGGTATGATATAATTGATTTATACTAAATATAAAAACATTATATAGAACAGACAAATTTAAAGTAGAATAGGAAAAGAGCTCAAAAATGCAATAAAAGTATATTATTTCGATAGTGGCCTTAATTCAGGTCTGAAAGGGTTAACGAAGAATCGATTAAATTTAGTTTCTATTCAAGGCAGCTGCTTTCAACATGCTGATGTCATGCTCTTGAAAAACTGCAGTGTATTCTGCGGTTTTTTCCCGTTTAAATGAGCAAAATATTTTTTGAGTGTGAGTTCCGCCGTGTCTGCAAGAAAAAATATACAGAGTGGTCCAAAAGTCCTGCCTTTGCATTCAAAATTGCATATATTTTATAAAT